TATATATATATATTAGTCTCTGTAAAATCAATGTAAAGTAGTTTGTTTGATTTGTTCTTTAAATCAGACGTTCCCTACCTCCGAGCCAAAGAATCTATTCATACTGGGCTTTCTTTCTCAAAAATCTCTGTATAAACAGTTTTACCATGTTTTTATTCATCTGTCCTCCTTGGTTTTGGTGACCAGGAGCAAGCTGTGGACAGAGAGCACGAGAGGGACGTTTTCCAGCAGGAGATCCAGAAGCTGGAGCATCAGCTGAAGAGCCCACAGAAGCTTCAGATTGGGTCTGAGCAAAGAAACCGAGAGGTAAAAAGAAAAAAAAAACGTTCTGTTCTGTGCCAGAGATGTGCCGATTTCTTTAAAAGTTACTTTGTTGCTGCAAAACGAGGCTTGGAGTCATGCAGCAAAACAATAGAAGAGGTAGAGTTACCTGAGCTAAAATGAAAACGATCCCTAAACTTTTGTAAGTTTGTAGTTTGGAAGTTGCGCAATAGTTGGTTTTATTTTCRTTATCATTAAAAACACAAAATAATGTAAATTCTGTTCATATCCACAGAAGAATCAAAAGCATTTCTTTGCTCATCCACTGCTATTTTATTAATTTCTGGTCCAATCTTTATCCTTCATTTGATTCAGAACTTTTTTGTTTTGTTAAAGTCACTTTAAGACAAACTTTTGGGTCTCGTGAGGTTATAAAGCCACAGAAAACGAGTGACAGAGTGTCGTGTCTACACATAGACAGATAATTTGATGCCAGAGGAAATCACAATTATAGTTGAGTTTTTTTTACATCTAAGTCATTTATCTTTTTTAGAAGTCTTTATATGTTGCATATCAGCTGTGCTGTTTTTTTGTTTTTTTAAGAATATTTTCATGTTTGTGTAATTGAGCTCACACAAGGCAAGAAGTCTTTTGATCCACACTGATGTGAGGAACTTGGAGCAAACGGATTAAATCGTTGCATACTGATCACTAATTTGCAAACAAATTGTCCAATTTGCTAAAAGATTGTGAGGTGAGCGTGAAAGACACTTGTTTCAACCAAAGACACAACAGTTTAACCCAGCTTATTTTCTGCTTGGTAATAAAAAAAAATCTTTTTCTGAAAAAAAACTACTTTTATTGTTTTCCTTCCCAAATTGTTCTTTATTGGTTAATTGGAAATAATTTCACGAGGTAGTTTCTTTTATTTTCTCCATGCATTTTTAGTTGCTCATGTTTACTTGTGTTATTGCTTCAGAGTGGTTTTGACTTGAATTACATTTTAAATTCTTCTTTGATTGGTGCTGATAGATTAGTTTGTGTTTTATTTATGTATTTATGTATTTATTTATTTATTTGAGGCGCTCATGTTTCAAGCTTATAGTTTGCCACTTTTGCTTTAAACATCCTGAAGTCACCCTCCTACCATGACTGTAATCTCCATAGACTCTTGTAGCATTTTCATCATTACTAAGTGTTTTATTTTTCCTCTTCTTCCCTTTTGCCTTTGAACTCTCCATCCTGTGATCCGTTATGCCTTCTTTCTCCTGTGGCTGTTGCAGGTGGATCGAGTAGCCTTTAAGGTACTGCTTCTAGCTCTGTGTGGTCTCCCTCTGCGAGCGTTTAGTGCATTTAGTGCTGCCCATCTCTCGCATTCCCCATCTTTTTTTCCATCTCTTGTTTTGTTTATATCACTCTTCTCCATCCTTTTGTTTSTAAATCTGATGCTCCTGCACAAAATCCAAAAGGTAAACAGCTGGGGAGGACATATTAGTTTAAAGACATGTTTTATAAATTAGATTTTTTAATTAAATCTTGCTTTTTGTTKGCTTTTCTTTTATCTATGTTAGCTAAAAGACAAAGATAAAAAGTGCATTTGTCATTCAGATGCCATCTGGGGACTTCACAGCTTTGAACAATTGTGTCCATGCATAAATAAACAAGCTGCCAATATTTTTCTGAATATTAAGTGAGAAAAAAAATATTCACAATAAAATCAAGCTTAAAGCATGAACCAAATTCAAATTTTGTTCTCGAGTTGTTTGGCGATGARTCCGTCTTGGGCTGCAGCCGTGATAAAAGGACATAAATGCTGTGAAGAGAGATTTGTTTGCTTCATCAGTTTACCATTGTTTTTATGGCTGTAGTCYTCTAAGATTTAACTAAACAGGAGAACTATGTTGGTTTTCTTTTTGAAAATACATTTCAAGCTTGTCGGTTGGTCCTCAGCAAACCTTCCCACCTGTCAGCCTTTTATTCCTGCTCTTTATCGATCTTCACTCTCACAGGTGGAGCGGTTAGCTCGCAAATGTTCAACGTTCCTGTCCTGATTTGTGTCACCCTGAGTGAAATCTCTGCACCTCTTTTCACAACMGACCCAACCCCCCTTCTCTCCACCTCCCCCACCCCCGTCTCTCAGGTGGATCAGCTGACTGCACTGCTAACTGCACATGTACCACGCTGTAGCCAGTTTTCTCTGAAAGCGGGTCTCATTAAAACCATCTCCCCCCTCCCCTTTTTTTTGTCGTCTGTTACTCCCTCTCTTGGTTACCAGGTGGAGCAGCTGACCTCCCAGCTGAAGGAGAAGGCAGATTGGTGCAGTGAGCTGCTGCTCAGCTCCGAGCAGCTGCGTCGTGAGCTCGGAGAGCGCGACGAGGAGATTGAAAAGCTGGAGAGCCGCATCCGCGAGCTGGAGCAGGCCCTGCTGGCCAGCGCTGAGTCTCTGGAGAAGGTGAGGAGGGAGGTGAAGGTTGCGCTGGAGACTGAAGCGGAGGCGGGGGGGTGCTGAACAATAGCTGTGGAGTGTGTGAGCATGTAGATGAGGTGACAACTAGAGGAGGAGGGCTGGGAGGGAGAACAATGTGTGGGTGGGTCTTCTCCAGCYGCCCCGGCACTCTGCTCTCACTGAGTTATAGCGAGCTGTTGTTAAGGTTGCCCCCCAGTGTTTGCTGATGATCCAGCTAAAGAAATTGTTTGAACGTGAAATCGATCAACTCATCAGCAGCAAAAGATTGGATCGGAGTTGCATCACGCAGCTCAGACATTTGTTCGAGGAGCGCTTGAATATCAGTTTGAAAGAGATTTTCTGTTCATGTCTTTAAAAAAAACAGCTGAGCCACATTAGTTTCATGTTTGTCGCAGGTTGAACCAAAAAACCAGCATGAATCCATCACTGAGGCAAAGCACTCCACTCTGGAGGCTCAGTTACAAACGGAGAGAGAGGCTCTGGAGAGGAAAGAGAAAGAGGTAATGGACAAAAGGAGATAATCTTGTATCAGTTTACAGAACGCATGATCACATCTCCTTTTTTATAAACAGATCCCGTTTGTTGAGTGTTTTGCAATGGAATGTTCTTGTTTTTGAATGCTGCCTTTTGAAAACTGAGTTTGCCTAAACTTATAGTTTTGTAAACTGTTTGATTTTGATTATACAGAAGTCACGTTATCTATCTAAAAACCTTTGTTTGTGCACTCTAAATCATGGGATGGAAATGTGCTCAGTCGCTGCTCAGTGTTGGTGAAAAAAACACCTGAAACCTTCAGGTAGTGAGTTCCCAAAGCAACCCTTTATTACCGTGTCAAATACTCCAAGTGACAAACAAGTTTAGAAGTTTAATGTTAAAAATGTTGATGCCTTTCTGATATCTCATGTTTAGAGCTGATCAGTTTTGTTAAAGGTCTTTTTTAGGTGCACAATCTCACGATGTGTTTCTGCTGCTGTTTCTGGGTTGTGTCAGATCTGTAATCTGGAGGAGCAGCTGGAGCAGTTCAGGGAGGAGCTGGAGAACAAGAGCGAGGAGGTGCAGCAGCTTCACATGCAGCTGGAGATCCAGAGGAAGGAGATAAGCAGCCAGCAGCAGTATCTGGAAACAAGGGACAGCATGCTGCAGGTAAACAAACAGCCTGAAGGGCTTCCTCTGTGGAACACACGTAATAAATATTTTGTTCATTTATTTTTATGATTTTTGAATTTTAAAGTTTTATTTTTCAGTTTGGAAAACTATTTTAATTCGAAGATTTTTACTGCTGTGAAACAAAACATGTCTTCTCTTAATTTGTTTGTGTTGCAACAACAGAAACATAACCTTACAAGCAAAATAGTCAAAATAGTTTTAATTTGCAGCTTTTTCAAGCTTAACTCCTATTATTTTGTTTTGCAACTAGACTCCCCTCTTCTCCAGAGACACCTAACCTGTTCCCAGTCTCTAAATTGTCGGTTGTGCTCTGCGAGGTTGCCCCTAAGTGATTTATTTTTTGACAAATTACATTATAATCTCTGACTTTTTGAAGGTGATGGAGGAGAAGGACAGGGAAATAGCTCTTCTTAATGAACAGATCACTAAGCTTCAACACATGGAAACAGCCTCTGATAACAAGGTAACGCAACATGMGTGTACAAAATAGAGCTGAAGTCTATTTCGTATACGCATAGCTCCATGGAGATGTTTCTTTGTGTGTCCTCTGGGTCCCATTTTGTTGTAGTTGGCTCCATTTTGGCTCCTTTTTTTGTTTGTTGTAGATTCGTCGTCTTCTGTGTTGAGGTGATCATTTGTTTTTGTGAAGTGGCTCATTAAACCTCTGAGTTTTTTGTGTGTGAACGTCTGACCTTTTTAAGTAAAAATTAACAGAATGCTACTAAAATCTTTCCCTGAGCACAACAAAGACTCAGACGATTAACCGCAGTGTGGGATATCCATGGTTTTGTTAAATCCCCCATTGTTTGGGAGGCATATTAATTTTTTATATTTTTTGTTTTAGGAGTTTGATGACAGGGAAGAAATGATAAAAGACTTGGAGTCCCAGGTAGAGTGTCTGCGGAGCGAACAGGAGCGCCTAAAGAGAAACAAAGAAGAAGAGCTCGAGCAGCTGAATGATGTCATAGAGAAACTTCAGCAGGARCTCGCCAATATCGAGCAAAAACCGGCTGCAGAGGAAGAGGAGGACGCTAGAGTTGAAGTAGAAAGCGGTACGTGGGAGCCAACCAAAGAGGAGTACGGTGAAATGAAGCAAAAGATGGACCGAGCCACCAAAGAGCTGGAGACGCTGAGGACGGAGCACAGCAAGCTGCTGGACAGRTACCTGCTCTTGAAACAGAGCGCGGACGCTTTAGCCGAAACTGAAAACCTGGACAGCTCAGAGGAGCTCGAAGAAGCTCTGAGAGAGAAAACGGCAGCRCTTGTGGTTTTACAGGCAGAAGTTCAAGCTTTAGAGCAGAGTGCCTCGTCCAGAGTGGAGGAGTTAGGTCGAAAAATTCAGGAGCTTGAAGATTTGGTAGGTGAGAAAGACTCTGAGGTGAACCGCTGTCGACTTCTTGTGGAGCAAACACAAAGCTGTGCAGATGATCTTCAAGCAAAAGTCTACAATCTGGAGGAAAACCTRAGGGAAAACGTAGCTGCAGCACTGGTCAGCCAGGCTACGCTGGAGGCCTTCCAGCAGCAATCTGAGGAATCCAAACATCAGCAGGAGCTGCAGAGGCTCCCCGCTCCACACGTCTTACAGTTCGCCGACTTCGGCATCCCCCAACTGGACTTCAGCACAATGGATCAGGTGAAACGTTCACCAACAGGAAAGGTGGTTCACTTGACGCAGAAGCTTCGAGACCTGGAGGTTGGACTCAGCGGGATGCAGAGAGACCAGGAGCTCCAGAAGCAGCTGCTCTCCAGCTCAGAGGAGGAGGTGCTGGAGTACGAGAGGAGGCTGGCCGTGCTCATGGAGCTCCTCAGTCAGATGAAGGCCGGGCCGGGCCAGAGGACCTCCTCATCTGTGGAGGTGAGAACTGAACCAAACAAATTTATTTGGAGTTTGCAGCCTTCAAACAGAATTTCTTTAAATATGTCAGAAATATTTGCTAAATGTATTAAAGCTAAATGTATCAAATGTTTCATATTCAGATGCCAACTTCAACTTAATATCTGGCCTTCACTTGTGAATTTTTAAATACATTTTGTAGTAACTATCTCTGCAACGTGCAAATTAGTTTAACCAACAACTCCATTCTGTTCACTTTGATAAYGTTTATTAAGTTTAATTTAACCTCTGATAACTTTCATCTCTTTATCAGATCTCTTCTTCTGAGCAGTCAGCTGTGACGAAGCATCATCAGGAGCTGCAGGGGGTCAAAGATGAAGTCATCACCACCAAACAGCAGCTGGAGCTCTACAAGGAGAGCTGCAGCGGACTCGAGCAGGAGCTTCGAGTATGTCTTAAAAGACTTCTCGTTGCACGCTGATTATGATTATTATGATGATTATGCCTCTTGTGTTTGGTAATAACCCCGAGCTTTTCTTTCCAGGACAAAACCGTGACCACGGAGAAACTTCAGGACCAACTTCAGATGGTAAGCATGCAGTTTTGTTTCTTTGTTTCACCTTTTTCTTGACAAGAAATCATGCTCGGTGAAAAAAAGCTGATTGTTTCCACCTTTTTTGCTGCAGGTATCGAATGTTCATGAAGGGACGACGACGGTGGAGCTTGAAGGAAAACTGATGGAGGCTCAGAATGAAGCAGCTTCCACCAAAGAGGAGTTGAACAGCTGCAAAGAACGACTGGAGAAACTTCAGGAGCTGCTGCAGGTGAAGAAACTGTTAAATATTGTTTTGCATTTGAATTTAGAGAAATGTAAAGAAAAGTTTGCACATTTTTTCCATCAAAAACTTAGAATGTAATCTTTTTTTGTTTTAAGTAGATTTCCAAATAGATAATGAAGTTAGTAAATTAAGATTTAGCATAGTTTGTTTACATTCTTGTGTTGAGAGTGAAACATCAGACGTCATGATCGAATTGAACTGGAGATTATATTTTTACTTCTTGAATGAATATTTGTTAAACAATCTAATCTTTTTCTGTAGGAGCGGGAAATGACCATTGCTCACCTCAAAGGAGAACTTTTCCAAGTAAGTCAGAAACCTCATTTTTAGATATTTAATTCTGATTTAACTGCATTATGTTTTCCTATATGTTACTTCCTGATTCATGTCATTCAAATATTTGATGGTTTGCTTAATTCTCTTCAAGGTTAAAGCTTCAGAAGACGGAGCTGACACGACAGAACTAATCCAGGAGCTCGAGGAGGTCCAACGTGATGCTGCTTCTGCCAGAGAAGAACTCGCCAGTTTCCAGGAGCGTAATGAGAAACTGCAGGAGGACCTCCGAGCCCCGGAGAGCTCAGTTCTTAAACTCGAAGAGGAGCTCCAGGAGATGAGATGCAACGTGGACTCCACCAAAGAAGAACTCACCAGCTGTCGAGAGAGGAATGAGAAGCTGCAAGAGGACCTCCAAGCCCGGGAGAGTCAGATTTTAAAACTCGAAGAGGAGCTCCGGGAGGTGAGAAGCAGTGTGGACTCCACCAAAGACCTTGATGGCTTCAAGCAGCAAAATGAGAAACTTCTTGAGGACCTCCAAGCCCGGGAAAGTTCTGTTTTTAAACTTGAGGAGGAGCCCCAGGAGGTGAGGAGCAGAGTTGACACCTCCAAAGAAGAACTCGCCTGCTACCAGGAGCGTAATGAGAAACTGCAGGAGGACCTCCAAGCTCGGGAGAGCTCAGTTTTTAAACTCGAAGAGGAGCTCCAGGAGGTGAGAAGCAACCTGGACACCTCCAAAGAAGAACTCACCAGCTATCGAGAGAAGAATGAAAAACTCCAGGAGGACCTCCAAGCCCGGGAAAGCTCAGTTTTTAAACTTGAAAAGGAGCTTCAGGAGGTGAGAAGCAGCGTGGACTCCACCAATGTACTCGATGGCTTCAAGCAGCAAAATGAGAAACTTCTTGAGGACCTCCAAGCCCGGGAAAGTTCGATACTTCAGCTCGAAGAGGCACTCAAGGAGMTGAGAAGCAATGTGGACACCACCAAARAAGAACTTAAAAGCTATAASCAGCAAAATGAGAAACTTCTTGAAGACCTTCAAGCCCGGGAAAGTACCGTTTTTAAATGCGAAGAACTCCAAGAACTGAGAAGCAATGTGGACACCACCAAAGAAGAACTCAACAGCTGCAAACAGCAAAATGAGAAACTTCTCGAGGAGCTGCACAGCCGGGAACTCTCCGTTTTAAAGCTTAAAGAGGAGCTTCAAGTTGTGCAAACAGCCTTGCTGAAAACAGCAGAATCTGGTCCTCCATCTTCCACTCCATCTCCTTCCCCGTCTCCATCTCCTCGCCTCTCCTCCTCCACCTCTTCCATCTCAACCTCACAGCCCAAAAGAAAAGGCGCAAAGCCTCCAACTGCTAAGGGGGGCGGTTCCAAAGATAAGCCACCTGTCTCTAAGAAAAGCTCTGCCTCTTCCAGCCGTTGGAACAGCAGCTCGGGTCAGCAGCACRTGGCTGTGACCCACTCATTTACGCAGACCGAGCCTCTCCGAGAGCCGGACCTCCTCGCGGACGGCAAGTCCGCCACCAAAGACGAGCTGGAGGAAGTGATCGGAGAGTTTCAGGAGAAGATCGCGCAGATGCAAGAGCTCCACGCGGCAGAAATCCTCGACATGGAGGCTCGGCACATTTCTGAGAGCGAGAACCTCCGCAGGGACACTCAGGCTCTGGAGGATGAATGTAAAGCTATGAAAGCTGTCATCGACAAACTGTGCTCTGCCGAGGTGAGGAGGAACCTGTTGAGCTGTATTAATATCTCGTTAGTTAATTATTTACAGCTCCTGTGTGAGAAAATATGATTTATTGGAAAAATTTGACAGGATTAAATGGCTTTATGTTGTTTTTTTTTTAAAAAGAAAAGAGAAATTTAAAGTAATTTTTGATTATTTCATATACACGATTTTGTGTCGATCATAAAGCACACAGAGAAAAAAAAATTAAACACAATGTCACCCTCTAGGCTCCTCCGTCAAGACAAGATCGTCCTGCGTTTAAAGATGGATACACCAGTGGTAGGAAACCATACTTTTATTTAAAAACCTCTCAGAAACTCAGCCAACAACAACATTAGTGCTGAGAGGGAAGTTTTTCTCCAACACTAATGTGATATTAGTCATAACCGTAGAGCTCATCGACTCTAAAAACGTTCTCGTTTGTTTGTATTTGTTATTAAATTTAAGTGCATCTGTTTGTCGTCATRCAGACAGCAGCTCAGACTACAGCCAGAGGACTGGATATGATGTTCCCAGCTTGCAGCAGGAGTTCAGGACGACTCCAGAGGGGGCCAGGAGAGAAACAGATGATCCACTACCTGACAGGATAAAGGTATAATTTTCCACCTGGGAAGTTCAGGCTGCCTTTTAGTGTACAGCTGTTGCATTCTAAAGCAGCAAAAGGACAGTTAAATCCATCCTACTAATGTTTCTGTGTGGTGTTTGTTGCACCAGACGTTGCTCCGTGAGGTGCACCAGGAAGGCATGCAGGTTCTGTCTTTGTCTGAGCCGGGCAGCCAGTTCAACGTCGAAGGCTGGGTGAAGGAGAGAGACGCCCTCCTGGCAACTGTGGAGTCTCTCAAAGGCCTCATCACTCAGATGCAGACACACAGCAAAGCACAGGTAAAGGATTTTTAGTGTGGTTCATTAAAGTTATTCTGGCATAAAATAATAAAAATTTAAAAAATCCTTTGTTCACTTTTGTTTCTATAACTTGTTGCAGACGTCAGGCGGTGCGGACTGGCGTGCGGAGCTGCTGGATGCAGTGCGGCAGGTTTTCCTGAGGGAGAGGAGCGTGCTGAAGAATGCCCTGTACAGCCAGCTGGACCTGCTGGACACCAGCGATGCTGTCGTTCACCTCAATCAGCTGGAGCGCCGACTGGCAGAGCAGGTCAGAAACAACCACCGAATCATCCTAATTTAAATGATCTTGAATGATAAAGTTACTGAGAAAAATCCAAGAAAATGTTTTTTGTTTGCTGTTCCTGTTAGTTTAAAGGGATCCCTGATTAGTTGTAACATTAGACTGTATTTGATAAATATTGATTTTAACTGTAAAATAAAGACTGTAAAAATACTGTAGGCTGTTTAGTTTTGTAAATTTTTAAAAATAAATCTCAACATGGACCGAGCCATTTTATTTACACGCAAAGCATTCTGGGTAAATGATGACGTGGATAGGTCCTCGGTGTGAGCGAGCTATATCCACCCTGAAGGTTAATCTTGAACAATATCTGATGATCGACTCTTTGAAATGAAACCAGAGAGCGTTGACAGAGAGGAGA